ATTAGTGCTATACTTGTAATCACATTGCACACCCTTCTTCCAAACATACATAGTGCTGTGTGCAATGTGTGTCTTAGTGGGTACAACATCCAGTGCACTCTGTTTTACAGATGTGTTATAACTCCGATCTACAACTGAATCGATGTTTTCCCACGTAACTCTACAGGTCTACATACGTAAGTACCGCGTATACACATTCACGCTAATATGCTTCTAGATATCTTCATGAATAGAAACAAAATAAGGGAAGTGATAAATAATACCATCGAAAACATAAAACGCAACCCTTCATTCTCCCTCTCAATAAATGTCGAAAATGTAAGTAACAGTGAGAAAATCTACCCATCCGTGTGCAATTGAGAATAACTCCAGCCTTTCCCATCTTATTACAAGCCTAGGGCAATGATAGGACGGAAACGAGATGACATGCTCAGCCTCGGTGGGAAGCGACACGTTTGGGCAGGTTCATACTCGAACATTTTATCGATCACACACATCAAAATAATTTTAAACAGTATACAATATTCTACATTCTTATAAACTACGTTATTACAAATTACAAATGTTTATAAATTTTAAAGGAATTGAAACTTTCGAGTATATCCGAAATTTAAAATGTTCGTAAGTTATATAATTTAACTATATACCAAAGTCGTAAAAAACATAAACCTTGAGAATATTCAAGATCTTATAAATATGGGCGTCGATATGGTACGTGAAATATCCTAATATAACCGAACCAGACGATATCTGATCAAGATTTGCCAGAATGGTTGGTGGATGCGCAGTGGTCTCTTGCGCAAACCTAACCTAACCCAATCTGATCCGATCAAGCTTTGTCCCAATGACAGGTGAATGCGCAGTAGCCTAGTGCGCAAACCTAACCTAACATAACCTAACCTAGCCCAATCCCACCACTGTGCCCCAGTGACAGGTGGATGCGCAGTAGCCTAGTGAGCAAACATACTCTACCTTAACCTAAGACGACCGTAAAACAATATATAGCTACACAACCAATCAATATCTGATGGAATTTAAAAATATCTTCCCAATTTGGAAAATATTTAAGAATTATATATATTACCTCGAGAAATGTTGGTATTTTCCCAAGATCTACGGCCATATATAACTTCAGGACCCTCATGTAACTAGCATTAGTGACCCTCTCACCTCAGAACTTCACGAATCCATAACTTTGTAACTGCTCATTATATGAAATCAGACTGTACCGCGTTGGCTTCGTCTTCGACGGCATAACGTCCATATTAACTTTCGTGATAATCAGTCAATTGGTTCATAAGGTGATATGGGTACCTACAAACCGACAATCTCTACGCTGAATTAATCTTCTCCATCCGATCACCCGCACAAGGGAATCAATACATAATTACAATTTCATAAACCTTAATTAAACATTACTACGGGCATGTTAAAGTGATGTACGATAATCGATACATCTGTTATATCAATATTATCATGTTGCCTACACTTGTTATATAGATCAAAGCGGAAGTCGCTACGCATAGACCCGCAATCAAACGACAAGTTTTAATTGCCTTAGTTAATTACTATGCAGTGCATCGGGGATATTATGTGTGTTAAGAAGACAGCGTGTATACTCAAGAACCAGTTTATATTAGTGTTATACTTGTACTCACATTGCACACCCTTCTTCCAAACATACATAGTGCTGTGTGCAATGTGTGTCTTAGTGGGTACAACATCCAGTGCATTCTATTTTACAGATGTGTTATAACTCCGATCTACAACTGAATCGATGTTTTCCCACGTAACTCTACAGGTCTACATACGTAAGTACCGCGTATACACATTCACGCTAATATGCTTCTAGATATCTTCATGAATAGAAACAAAATAAGGGAAGTGATAAATAATACCATCGAAAACATAAAACGCAACCCTTCATTCTCCCTCTCAATAAATGTCGAAAATGTAAGTAACAGTGAGAAAATCTACCCATCCGTGTGCAATTGAGAATAACTCCAGCCTTTCCCATCTTATTACAAGCCTAGGGCAATGTTAGGACGGAAACGAGATGACATGCTCAGCCTCGGTGGGAAGCGACACGTTTGGGCAGGTTCATACTCGAACACTTCATCGATCACACATATAAAAAAAAAATAAACAGTATAATATTCTACATTCTTATAAACTACGTTATTTTCGGAAGTACTAGAAAGTAGAAAAGTTTATATACTTTAAAGGAATTGACATTTTCGAATATATTAGAAATTTAAAACTTTTAGTAAATTATATAATTTAACAATATACGAAAGCCGTAAAAAAATAGAAACTTTGCGAAATTTATAGATCTCATACGGATGGGCGTCGATAGAACTGGAAGATATTTTCTAAATTTTGACAAATTAAAAAAAGAATAAATATAATTCTTTATTACAGATTCATAATTTCCCAGCCTCTGTTACCATGCACCACTTCAAGGCCCTGCTGTACATGGCCTTAGCGACCATTCAACCTCAGAACTCCATGAATGTATATAACTTCGTTGTTATTGTTCATTATACAAAATCGGAATGCTTGACTCTGTGTTGGTCTTTAATGGCATAACATACATATATTGACTTAAGTGAAAATCGGTTAACTGGTTCACAACCTGACATGAGTAGGTACACAGACCGAACAAGTCTACACAACATTAATCTCTCTCCATCCGATCCCCCGCTAAAGGAAACAAATATATAGTAACAAAAATATACATCATAACAAATTAAACAAATATTATGGTCGTTGCATATGCAATATTCCGTCCACTAATCGATACCTGTTTGTTACGTCAATATTATCAGGTTGGCTACACTTGTTATATATATGAAAACGGAAGTCAGTATGTACAGACCCACAATCGAGAAGTTTTCATTACTTTAGTTAATTATAATTCAGTGCATCAATGTTTTATGTGTACCTAAAAATACTGCGTATATACTAAGGAACTAATTAATATTAGCGTTATATTTCTAATCACATTATATTGTACACTCTCCTGCCAAACATACATATTGCTTGTGTACAATGTGTATCTTAGTGGGTACAACAGTAACATTTTATTTTACAGATGTGTTATAACTCCGATCTCCAACTGAATCGATGTTTCGCCACGTAACTGTACAGACCTACATACGTAAGTACAGTGCAATTACATTCATACTAATATGTTTGGAAGCGTCAAATAGCTGTTTTACATGAATCGAAACCAAATCAAGAAATTGATAATATACAGCATCGAAAACATAATTTGAAACTCTTGATTACATCTCAATAAATGTGGTAATTAATTGTAATTAATCTGCCAACCTGCGTGCAATTATGAGTAACTTATCCGAAACCTAACCATTATTGTACAGGATGATTCTAAATTATTGTCGGGTTTGTCCACTGAAACCCCGACAAAAATTTAGAAACATCCTGTACATTCAGATGTCTGTCACATTCCCTTATATTCAATTCAACTGCAAATGTCCTGTATACACAAATATTCACTTCCATGAAGTCAGAGACCTGGAACTATCCAAGATGTACGCCCTCACAAAGCAAACTATCTCTTTCTTGTGACTGAATGCAGAGTAGAAATGCTGATTTACGTGAAAGAGTAATTTGTGTACCTCAGATTGTACGAAGACAAGTGCTTCAACAATTCTTTTCTCTTTGCAGACTCTTCCGGAATTCTCAACAGATGAGGTTCGTGGCTTGTATACTTTCACCCCGGGAGGTATCAAGACAGCTTGTGTGGCTAACAACAACGCGTATCATAGCAATCCGAAATGTAACGTAAGTTTAAAAACAAATTTGTCCTTGTGTTTAATTACATATCATGCCGTGAAAACATATGGAAAACTGGCGATATAACAAAACGAATTCTTAACCTCGGCATTAGATAATATTATATTATCATATTTAAGTATCCTGTTGACTTAGGATATAACTTATAGTCTTGTTTTCAGTCTATAATATTAATTTAAGAACAATAATTCACACTTAATTCTATAAATGTTCGTTAAATGTTTGAAATGTCATTCAGATTATTAAAATGTATATACATTCAGTGTTTATGCTACATGTTTCGGCCGCAGAGGGCCATCTTCATGCAACGTATCTTTTAAAGGAGTCTGCTGAATTGTGTACTTCGTCAAACAGTATACATTATGGCACGTCTTGTTGTTCTTATTAATTTTTTTAATTCTGATGTTAGGGGATGATTTTATAGACGGCACACCAATGGGACACGAAAACAGCCGAAATTAATAAGATAAGAAGAAACCCATCCTAGGCCTGTAGCCTAGTACGAGTAATTATACTGACAGAGGCAAACTCTGATTTAGTAAAATTATACAAACCTACCGATCTACCCGAGATATTATGTTCTGGCGAAGAGAACTACTGTCCTCTGAGACGTACTGAAGTGTAATCTGCTATACCAACGTTTCGGATGATCATGCTGCTTCCAACCTCAGGGACTTGTAGGAGACATCACATTTTCAGAAGACTTATGAACTATAGGAATTCTTAGGATTCGAGGAATTTATAAGATTACATATAGTACATCAAAGGGTTCTATTTTCTGGGATATAAGGCCGTGTAGTCAGTTGAAAGTTAACAGACGTTTCGGAGGAGCATGTCGTCACCATCTTCAGGAATGATAACATTTGCTTGCCACCTATTTTCACTCTGATTTCTTGATTGGTTTATTCTCTCTTTTTATTGCTAGTGGGGTGTGACTAAGTCCCTTGTACTGCGGCAACTTCTGGCCTATTGTACCAACCCCAGATGATAGGTGAGGGTGATTGTGGAGCAATTGGCAGAATGAAGATTGGCAGGGGAAACGGAAGTACTCGGAGAAAACCTGCCCAGCGCCACTTTGTTCACCACAAATCCCACTTGACCAGACCCGGGATCGAACCCGGGCAGCCGCGGTGGGAAGACAGTGACTAACCGCTTGAGCTATGGAGCGGCCCTTGGTTTATTCTTCGACACTAAGGATGGAAGCGACATGTTCCTCCAAGACGTCAGTTGATTTTCAACTGACTACACGGCGTTACATCCCATATCCTATATAGGTAAAGGTAGAAGATTACTGTTGCCTTTGGGATGTGGCAACGTGTACCTGTAGAAAAGTTACCAACGTTTCGGAGGAATCTACTTCATCTTCAGGACAAGAGAGTGTATTTTGTAACTCTGAAGAAGGAGGCAGTACATTCGTTAAAATAGTAATTATATAGACTATACACAGTTCAAAACGGCGTTACAAGATGGAGAACACTTATTTTCATACTCACTGCAAAGAAGAGCCCAGATTTGATTACGAAGTTTAGAGAGTCCATCACTGGTTCATATCCTCCTCAGTTTTAATATTATCCTTCCATCAACGCCCAAGTCTTCCTAGTGATTCTCCCTTCCATGTTTTTTAGCCATAATTTAGATGCATTCTTCGGAAGGTTTTAACCCCTTTTACAAAGATAAACGCTTTCTTAAATGTTTTTCTTCTATCCTAAAATTCTAAAAGCCGATCACGGTAGCCGAGCGGTCTAAGGCATGTACTGTCTTCACTCGCTTGGAAACCGGGATCGTGGGTTCGAATCCCACTCAGGGCATGGATGTTTAGTTTTGTGTGTGCGTTTCTCTGTGTTTGTGTACAGGTAGAGGCCTCGCGACGAGCTGATCACCCGCCCAAGGAGTCCTACCGAATGTGTAAGATGTAGAAAAACGGAGATGTTCATGGAGGCCACTGGGGCTGTAGTGCCAAGGGGAAAAAAAGTAGTGCCAAGGAAAAAAAAAAGATTCTAAAAATAAACAAAACTTAATGAGAACCCTGTCATTTCGCCTTAAGACTTTAATTTTAAACACGGAGTGTCAGTTCAGAAATTGAGCAAATCCTCTCGACTGTCGAAACACATTCAGGATCGATTTGTGTAGCTACCCTCTCCTCCCCAGCGAACCACTTGTTGATGTCTTGTCCCTACTCACATTACTTCATTTTGATTCACATAAACATGTACTGCCATTATTCCCAAGATGAAACACGCAACTGAACTGAGCCCTACACGGTGTCCCATAATGTTCTATTTCACTTTCTTTTACTGAACACAAAATTCAGTAAGCACAAAGTAGGATTTTTGTGGGTTATAGGAACCGTGATAATTCAGTCGGTATAGCGACGGACTAGACGACCCTAGTTCGATACTCGGCATAACCCACCGCGTCCAGATCGGAACACTAACATTTGTTGACCCCTACCCTTCATCATATTTCGATCGTACAATGAGATATAAAACACATAATATTTTCTATCAGGACACAATTTAGAATGAATCACCCTGAATATTCTTTACGTCTCAATGGATAGACTGTTGTTGTTGTTTCCAACGTTATTTATGTTTCAAATATATTTCTACCCTAAAGTCCATTCGCGGAGACGAGACAGTCAGCGTAAACAAAGCAAACCCCGATTCGCCACAGCTGAGAGCAAGGAGTGGACAAAGCTCCCAGTTACTCAGTGTACTCGCTGCATCCGGACGCACGTTAACCTGCAGTCAGACTGAAGAGTGAACTTTGGACGCCCCTGCAACGATACACGCATCATGTGATCGCTGCATGATTTCATTCAAAGAGCGAAGGAGATACCGCGTGCATTTGTTTACGAGGACTCTCTCGTCTCCTCGAATGGACTTGTAGTCTATGGTTCTATAGTACTTTTGTTGGATCTTGGCCGCTTTTCAGTTTCTTAATCCTATATACAATCGGTAGGACTCCTTGGACGGGAGATCAGCCTGTCGCAAGGACGCTACTACACACAGAACACAAACACAGAATAAACGCATTCAGACATCCATGCCTTGAGTGGGATTCAAACCTACCATCCCAGTGTTCGACCGAGCGAAGACGGTTGATGCCTTAGACCGAGCGGCCACTGTGATGGGCATATTTCTGCCCTACTACGCCAACCGTGATTATGTGGATGCTTCTAAGCAATACAACAACAAAAATTAACTTTTTATTATTTATTATACTGCAACTGGGTTTTAGCCCGGTGGCAGTAGTACACAATAGGACACAACGGACACGTAACACACATTACACTAAGTGACAACAGGTTCAAACAAAACACAATACACTAAACACAACAATAAGGACATCCTACGACAATGAATACAAACCAAATACGATTAACAACTACAACAATTACAGAGAAATACAAACAACTGCAACAAATACAACAATTACAGAGAGAGAGAAGAAAAATAAATACAACACCCAAAACACAAACAAAAGGAAACCAACAGTCATGGATGCGTAATATCATTTACTTCACTTCACTTCACTTTTAAATTATCCGTAATTTCAAAGCATGTAGGTAAAGCAGAAGAATGTTCGAAAGAACGGGAAAGTCCACTCCAGATGTCTTGGTCTTCAATTATCTTGTTTTTGTGAAATTAGAATAAAGATCCAAAATAAATATTTGCCACTCTACTAACTTCCTTATTATCGTGGAAATTCGATTCCTATAGTGTAAATCGGAATTGTAGGATTTTAGGTTCCCACACCGGTGGTTATGAAGATTACTATCTTATTTGATATAAAGCAGTGTAGTTCGGTGAAAGTAAAGTGACGTTTCGGAGGAACATATCTCTTATATAATCAAAGCTGAAGAATAAACCAAGTATACAAAGAGCGTGAAGCAGAAAGCAAGCTTGCTTTGCTTGCTTAGTACTGAAGATTGGGACATGTTCCTCCGAAACTTCGGTTAGCTTGTACCGGATTACAAGGCGTTATACCCCGGAAGACAGAACACTCCACATATTGTCTTTGTATATTTGTTCCAATTTCTGTGTGAATCATTGTTGTTAACAAAAAATATCACCATTAATAGTATTAGGCACTGGGATGTGAAAGTAGTCCGGTAGATATTCGAGTACGTTTCAAAGAAAGTGCTGTCTCCATCTTCAGGGTCAAAAATGTGTTATGCAAAAATGTAAGGTAAAAAGTCAGGTTTTCCCTGCGTTAGTTAATTAAGCATCACGCAATAAAGGCGTACGGGAGAGTGGAGGTATAGCTCCGCCATTCTTGACATCACCACTAGATGGAGGTGAATGGTCAGCTTCAAGCCCCGGTGAAAGTGCCCCCAGCGGATATGAGGCTGGGTGGACCCAGAGCCGGTCTGAATGATGTGGGGTAACGAAAAATCTGTTTCTCTTCCGGAAACCGAGCCCCGGCCACCCATCCCGTTCCTATTCCACCCCAGTTCCGTTTCGGCTCCCGTTATATAATCTTGGGGCGGACCGCATAGAAAACATCGCTTCCGGCACTTCCTCTATGGTTATGTATGTGTCTGTTTCTGCGGTCACGTGATTCGGTTGCCGTGGAAAAATGTTTACAGAGCCGTTACTTAGCAACAGGCTTCTTGTCTAGTTAAACTATCCCGGCATCCAGCAGACATGTCACAGCATAGAGGAACATGAATCTTGCCCATAAACCGACTTCTCTTTAATCAGTGTTGGCTTGTCACTGCCTGCCATTTCATCTCCAGCGAACTGACTAAGAGTAGGTTGGAAGTTTGCACAGCGGTAAGTGTCGGTGTCTTGCAAGCAGAAGAGGGTAAGATGCTCGTAATGATGTTAATAAGCCCACCCCTTCCGCCCAGACGAACAAACCGGTACACCTCACACAATCTCCTGCACACTATTCGAGAAAATGAAGCCCGCCGGCCGTGAAGATTGTTTTCACGGCCGGTAGGTACACACCAGACACGGAGAGTCTCCTGCATCACT